GAGTGCACAAGTACTGCGTGTAAGCAATATGTGTAGTCTTCTCCGTTTTCCTCCATAAATTCGTCCAGGCAAAGCTTATCAGGGAAGACAAATCTTTAATTCGTGCCATTTACAAAATTAGAAGAGTTTTGGAATCTTTGAGTTATACGAACTTGTCATTGATTTTCCTGTTGGCGTCACGAGTGACATCGTACTGGAAACGCATCAGCTGCAGGTGCAGAACAGGTGGGAAGGAAACAAATTTCACACCCTTTTCAGCCGGTTGCATACCATAGTCACCAGCATCGTATTTGTTCTCGCCATCCAAACGTTCAACTTGGACATACTCTCGAAATGATTGCATAACTGGAAATAAGTCGTATTGCATAGAGGAGTGTTAGCATACTATTTACTCGTAATTTAATATTTCTAAAATCTGTTTGTTAAAATGTGGTCATAACACACACACAAATGAACATGGTTATTGCGAAAAAGCTGTACGTGTCATTCATTAGCTCATTCGCCAAATCGCATAACATAGCTGATAGGAACAGGTTCAACCACTCCTTATTTGGGCTATAAAATGAAATTCAACTGATCAAGCTGCCACCCAGGGTGAGACGTGGAGATTCCTCCACTTATGCTTCTCTATCTGAACAACAACCAAGAATCGAAATGTAAGTCATGGATCTATCTCTTTGTAGCAAACACTCAGAACCCTCCACACGTACTGCAGCAGTTCCTGTGGCAATCTCAACAGCGGAGACACTGGAGTTCCTTCATCACCAGCAAACGACTCCATAGTACTGCCACCACCATAGAATGATAGAACGTTCCGAAACTCTTTTTACAAGTCATAATGTGTGGAAAACCGACTCTATCTGGTGAAATATTGGAAGGCGAAGAAAGAACTAAGCACCGCAAAAGAAAGATCGAGAAAGAAATGAACTGGAAAGAATTGATTCTGCCAAATATATTCTACCAGATACAGTCGAAATCAACCCATAACTTGCCCACGCCAATTAACGCGGCTGTGTAGATGGAGTACGAACAATTCTTCGGCAGTTGCGGACTTTCCCGTTTTTCGGAAAAAAAGGGTGACTTTCCAGTGACTAGACGGCTTTAAAGGACGTGAACAAATAGATTTGTTGTATTTTCTATGGTACAAACTAATGTGTACAGATACTTAGCCTGTTACGATAGATGCTCATTGTATATTACTATGTGTGTGTAAACACATTATTGTCAATACCTTGAAGTATTTTGCACCCTATGTTAAGTCTATCCCGGCTTTTTTTTAAAAATATGCTTAATTTTTAGTCAAATCATTGATCAAAAAACTCCCCGCAAAGAGGTTTTTTCTGAATTGTCAAGTGTAGAGAACGGTTCTTTATGCTCTCAACCTTACTATTTTGACTTGCTTTCGATCAGCTGTGTGTGGCAAACGTGGTAACATGTGATTACACATTGTGTATTAAAAAAAATTCTACAAAACACGAAGCTGAAAACGGACACTAGTGTTGCTGAGGCATTTGCAAAACACCTGACCGCACGTCTCTGCCGTGGGAAACGAACACACACTAGAAATCGAAAACACACTGGCGAAGGACACTACAGTGTTCATATCGGGCGTTAGGGGTTATTAAGTATCCTCTCAGAAATACCAAAGTAACTATAACATCTTACAACAAAACTGTTACAAATACAACCACTTTCAACAAATTTTGAACCCACTGTTATTTTTCCCTTTGATATTCAGTTGAATGTCATAGAAGGGTTCCTCCTTGCTACTCTCAAAGCTGACATTCGTACAGCGGATATAGGACTTCATAATACCACGAAACAGACTTGGAATTGTTTCCTCTACCTAGGCAACACGAATGTAATTTGAGCATTCCCTTGGAGCCTTCGAAATTGATACGAAACCAATGAGGCAAGAGAGCGAAGAATGAAATCAGAACTACAAATAGCTTTCACAAAAAAACACTACATCTGAAAACAAAGAAATATCTTACCGGTGACTTCTTCATCTTACTCTCAAGATTATCGAGAAGTACTCTACACAATTCCTGTACATCATGCTGCATAAACGTCTCTAATGAGTCCCATCCAAATGACTTAGTGAGCTTCTTGGTACCCACTGGACGGTCCGAATGCTTAACGAAGAACTTAGACAGTCTTCACTAGTACTGATAATAAATAAACAGCCTGAAATAGAAACCTAAAAACTACCTGCAAGTCATAGAATACCCGCTGCATAGCCAAGGCAACATTATTTTCTGAATCATCCTGTGATACTGGCATGTCGTAAACTGCCTGAAATGCTTATCTCCACCAATGCAGCACATCAAATATGTTCCCTTCGATGATTTTCCAAGACGCAGCATCAACGACGAAAACGAAGAGAACGGTAGAAAATAACAAGTATACTACTGGAATCAACAAGCATCTTGAAAAGAAGTAGGGTTAATAACGTATGTGTTATATTTCTCGCTAGTGCAAATAGATGCAACGATGCAGAGCAAAACATGTGACAGAGTTCGAGCAAAACAATAAGGCAAGAGTTTCACTTTGGTAAAGCAAACAAGCGAGTTTAAGGTTTACTCTAACCTTTCCGACGAAGACAGCAAATCTGACAAAGGCAAAATGCTGTGTTCACCTCTTGATGTGCCTCCGGATGTGAATACAATGCCTAAGATCAAAGAAACAAACGTCCCAAGAATGACTGAATCTCTAGTTTTAACAGTGACGCATGCACATTTGCAGAGAAAAGAGCTTTGAAAACGCGTAGTTACTTCTCCATTTCTTAACATTCACTGAGCCACAACATGCAACCTTGCTCACCAAAGTGCAAAACAACCAGTGAAAAAGTAAGTTAGGAACACAGCACTGGCCACAGTAGCAAAAAAAGTCGGACGAACCTTCCTTAATTTCGTGGTGAAATATAAAGTTTGAAGAATAGAATTCATGTAACATGTAGCTCCCTGATTTTTGAGTCCTATATAACCAGCATGTTTTTTACTGTCCCATCTGAAAGAGTTCAGTAAACATTGAGGCAGATTGCTTCTTTTAAAGTTCTAATCCGAAATTCTCTAGAATATCGTCACTAAATATAAATTTCTGAAATATTGCTCGGAGGAAGAAAGCGTTCACTAGTCGTTTTCTGCAAATAAACATAAATCTACCACGGACAACTCACTGTACACCGTGCGGAGCATCCGCTGAAACATGAACTACCAAGCGTATAGTATCATCCTTTATGAAACCATTATCTGGATTTATTAGATGCTGAAAAAACCCTGAGTAAAACTCGAAATGCCTGCATTAGCCAGACACGAATGTAAATCTAAGAATCTTGGAAAAAAAACGCTCACATCACAAGTTAAAAACTGTGAGTACCCCCAGTCATTCTCCTTTGGATAGAATGTGTGAGTTATCCGCCGGGAATGATCATCAAAACCTTCAACTTGACCAAGAACCTAAATAAAAAAAACGGCTATTTTAACGACTACCTTTCTCGTTACTTCAACCTGCTTTCCAAAGAACTGATAAAAGTAAGTGGGAGCAAATCCATAGAAATGTTCCAGACACCTTCAATGATGCTGACGCAATGCAATTCCACGCGACAGCATCAGAGTCTCCATTGCACTGCAGGAAGAAACCAAGCGCTTTGTTAGGCCGAGTTCCTGTGCCGACTCTCGCCGCATCCCTAAGTAGACTGAGGTCCAAAACACCATAGGATGTAGAGGATGTACAGCATAACCAGTTTACCTTGGGATCGCCAAGATCTTCCATGGAAGACCTCGAACAAACACAGGCTTCGAGAGACGTTGTTGAGTTTCGGGTGATCCTTTACAAAATTGACTAAACCCATCAATGTCGAGGTAGATAGTGCCTTCCGGCTTATAAAGGTCATCTGGATCGTCCTCTTCCTCAGTCATATAGTCGCTTTCGCATCGTGGCAAGTCGACAACTAAAAATAACTGATTTCAAAAGCACGTGCACATTAGCACTAGGAGGTCAACCCACATTTCTTCATACGCTCTGCGCATTCGTCATCGCAAGAGACGTTCACCTCCATAGCAGCATCGGGTGGGGTGCAGATGTCATCCTCTTCACTAGCCGAATCCTCGACCATGTTCACCTTCAAAAGCAATGCTTGTTCGCACAGGATAAAAAAGTTTAAAAAAAGTAGTAGCAACAAGGAAATGGAAATGAAAAGCTCTACCTCAACGTTTTCTACATCTGTATCCCTGTTGTCGACATCCATTTCCCTGTTTTCTACGTCAGCTTCACTTTCGACTTCCTTTTCAGGCTTCAGTTTAACGTCTTCTTGAATAATTACAACATCTTTGGTCTCAACCTCCATGTCGGTAGTGACGTCGTTCCTTGGCGGCGCGTTCTCCAGGGTTTTCTTTGCTGCCGTGTGACCCTTCTCATCAACGCCGTTTTCCATTACACTACACCGTGGGTCAGGAGCTCTAAAATGAACATTGTCAAAACTAGGCTGCTACTTGCGATTATTGCGAAAGGCGACTGCGCAAAGGACTAATGAGGAACAAATTATCTTCTCAACTTGTGTTAGCAGATGATAAGACACAAAACGACTCAAGTGCTATTAAAAGAATGTTAAGGATGCCACTACAAGCAGAAAAAGACTCGTGAACAGCGAACCAAACTTCAGGAAATAGTGAAAATGTAGTGAAAGTGAGTCTAAAAGTAATCCTCGCATGAAACATATGGATTGTTGTCACTATATGATCAAGAGTTCTAAAAGTACCCAATGTGACAAACTGGAGAGCAGTTGAGATCACGCGTAATGTCGCTACCAAGTTGGTAGGTAAACTGGCCAACAACAACAAAAAATCTTTTAGATTTTAAGACTTGTGCTCTAAGTAACACAATGCCTCAAAACGAGTAAAACTGAAGGCTACACGTAGAGAGGTATTCATGAATGGCTCTGCCGAAGAAATGACAGACATTCTTAAGAATCGCATATGGTCGAGTCCTAGAACCATATAAATGTTATGCATTAAAAATTCTACAGATGCGCAAAGGGCGCGGCTCCAACTCAAGAGTACTAATTACTTTGCATATATTTATATCTGCAAAGATATGTATGTAATATACATTTCTCCTTATATATATAATTATGATTTGCCTAGCATTTATCATCCATTTATGTAAGTATAAATATGCTTATGCCTACACACATACATGTATACACATACATATTTACATATGGACGCATATACACACACATATGAATATATGTATACATAAATTCCTTAAAGAACACTTTCGAAAAAGAACCCCAAATGACTGTTAACGGAAATGGGTGCTATATTACAGAAACTGGAAATGCTTAAACAACAAATTTGCAGTACTCACTGAGCTAAGAGGAATCTACTTTGCCAATCACAAGTCCTGCAGAGTACTACACGAATATGCATAGTGTACTAACAAGTCTCCTCATATTTGATCTCCGATGTCGTCTTCTATACGTTGTTCGATTAATCGCAATGCAACAAACCTTACCTCAACACAGGACTCCTGATTACGATCACCGAAGAAGAACACGTTAGCACGATTATCTTGTGTAATCCACGCTAAACCTTCATTTAATTTGTGAAGGTAAATCAGATAAGGGCAGAGAATTAAAGAAGCGCTTCGCTTCGCGCGATGTCCAAATATTCAGGCAAGTAAAAGGGTAAAGGATAAAGATTTCGGCGTTGACCAATACCTGAGGGATGCGCCATGCATTCGACTTCACTAAGCATCGTTTGGAGATGATTAAAGCATATCTAGCCTTTACAGTGACTCGCGGTGGCCTACCGATATATCGAGCCAATGCTATCCTCCCAAACAAATCTTGTACCTATTGCCGACTCCGTAAGGACGGAAGGATTGGTGAGCCACGTGCTGGGATCGGCCCCACGTGTATTGTAGGGCGACTCTGACCACTTCCCCACACGAGCCCTTATCCAAGCAAGTATGTATCAAAATCGCGTTCTCATTATTTATGCATTTCAAATACCGCCTCTTAATTTGTACCCTTGAAACCAGTAAGAAAATATCATAAAAACGTTAAAGCCGGATGAAAAAACATCCGCCACTTTGGAAACATATGACGTAACTCTAGAAAAAACCCACTAAGCAAAGATGTTAGAAACCGACAGTGGTGAGGCACTGCCGTCGATAAGATGAGAATCGAAATTACCTTCGTAATTCAAACACACTGACTTTCTTCACCAAATAGGGCAGCGACCACAGCGTTATTAAGCTTGAAAGTCCAAACTAATCATCAATAAACGATTAGCATAACTTTAAAGCTGAACAACACAGAGTTAAGCACCCCTGTAATGAATTTCTACGCGGCTAGGACACCTCGCAACAACGAATATAAAATTGACGGCGCTGGAATTATTTCACATAACAAGCTACTCTGAACAAAATCAAAATGATAATTCGTATAAAAACGCCAATTTTTCAAACAAAAAGTCACTTTCAGATGATCCCCATACACTCGGCAGCCACAATAACCCAATAAAATAAAATATGCAATAAAATTAACAAATACAAGGCTCGTGAACCGTTACTTCTCGCAAAACTGCGAAGCAATCAAGTTGCAGTGGAAGTCGCGAACTGATCAGTACGTATATCTCGAGCCACAAGCTTTCAGCTTTGAAACTTATCATTTCCTCAAACATGTGATAAAACCACTACGTACAACAAAATACGATAAAATGTGATGGAGATAAGGGAATTGGGTTCACAAAGAAATACTTTGAGAAGAAAAAGGACCGTTAACCTCAATAATAACCAGATATTATGGCCGTCATTTCTTATAGCAATGGGATGAAACTACTATGTCAACTGATCCATTCATATTTCATGGATAGCTAGAAACTTCGGAAACATGGATTTCTCCTCAGCGGACATCTGTTGATTACTGCTAACTTGGATACTTGGATAGCCCTTCCTCACTGGTTCTGCGAGCTCCAGCATACTCTCCATTTTTTCGGAGTTTTGCTGGTTTAGGCATTGTGGTTCTCTAGAGTCCCAAGGTCGGCCGGGTCAAAGTCTGCCCCAGCTCGTCACCACCGCAAGCAGTCGCCGCCCTTGTGGATCACATGGAGATTTGCCACCATGCGACTAGTCTGTTAACAGGACGGTGACGGATCTACTCGTTTTCACCCTGGGAGACTCTACCGAGAGATGAACTCCTACGCTGCACATCGAAACCCAACACAGAGAAACACTTCCTAGCGACAATGAGGCAGTAAACGGTTGGGAGATGCGCCGATTAGCGGATGCAGTATGTTTAATGAACGCTCTGCATCAAGGCATTAATTTTTTGAAGAAGCAGTCGCATGAAATGAAACCTAATAATCCAAAAGAAGTTATATACTTTTAAAAAGCGCTGAAAGATAACGTGCACGATCACTGCAAGTACGTACAAACTAAAGTACTTCACAACTGTAGGTCTTACCGTCACAGATGTACAGTGTTCCACTGTTCAAACTCTAGGGCAAGAAACACTGCCATCTAAACGGAGTTCTGATTCGACTACCTGTAAATCTGAAAACCAAAGCAAAACACTTAGTGTTGATCACCAGAAACACCATGTACTCGACTCCATCAAACAAAATAAAGTTAACTGAATGAATAATTAGCCCACATAAAGACTTGCTACTTTCTAGCCGTCTAGTAAAGTCTAATAATTCACAGCTCACACAGCACGGTTTGACATGGTTGGTAAGGTCCTAAGCGCCGGATCGCAACGATAACCATGTCCATCCATCAAAGGACGTCCGAAAACGACTGGTTCTCATCAAGTACCAATCCTTAAAATCCAAAAACAATCCGAAATCGAGTAGCGCTTTCAAAAATCCGAATATACAAAGGAAATACTGTGGAAACAGTTTATGTGGATCTCATGAAATCTTCTCACTAACACAACAACCATCAAACTGTTCACAATAAAACCTCCTCTGCACGAAATCGAAGGTCTGCACTTAAGTGAATCAAGTGTATGAAATACGAATACGATGAAAATCCGACGTGATTGATTAGGCTAATAGACACAGAATATGTATTGTCTTCAACGCACAGCAATTAAAACCTATGCCAAGCTTGATAACTATCGCATTTTTAGAGCACATACTGACACCAAAACTAAGCGAAAACTACTTTACTCATACTTATTTACACCTAAGGAGTAACTTACATGAACACAAATATGGAGACGGCTAAGGCGCTATCGTGTTCTGCATGCTCTCTTTTTACTTGACTGACCTTTTCTTTCAATATCCATAAGATTTGTAGACGCTACAGTTAAGACGCTAAGGTATACTTAGGCAACTGATGATAATGTACTGGCAGTACGTATAAAACCAGGTATTGTTTTTGAAAATAGAGAAAAAAAATGGATCTCCGCTGTCTTAGACGAGTCTCACAGGCAAAATGAAGGTAACCGTAGACTAGTGACGGCTATTCTTGTACGATTACTAGAAAATCTTATCGATTTCGGTTATTGGCAAATTAAGTAGATAGGTATGACTAACAAATTGCCGTAAAAATTATAACGGACAATATATGAACACAAAAATCCTAGCGATTCAAAAAACATGTTCAACCAGGACTACGTAACTCAGGGACTTTCCGGCGGGTTAGACTCACTCTGCATCTCTGACTTCACAACGGCTGCTACCAGAGACACTTCCCATCTAATTCTGTATTGTATTCATCAGAGATTTGGCTGCAGCATTAAGGTATATCATAACTTCCACTTTTCTCATAACCATATCACTGTCATTGAATCTGTTGTCAATTTACATCCGATCAATAATTGTGTTTGTTAAAGCTATTGATTCCTGCGACGAAGCGGCTTGTGGCGATAATGTTCGTTTTGCGGTTCATTTTCAATTTTTTTTGCTTTTTCGGTTCCTAACCGGTAGTAATCGTGTGGAAAGGTAGAGTTATGTGCTTTAAGCAGGACTTAGGAAAATAGTTATTGTTAGTAGTCCTACAGGTAGGCATTGAAACGTCAACACTGGCCGTCCAATGTTGAAGTGCAAGTGTTTCGATGTTTTCTGGTTAGGCTTGTTCAACCTGGGTTGATTTGTTCGGTCATCATTTAGGAGATAAGGACGTGATAAAGTAGTAGGACTAGCTCCTCGATTTTTTCCGACGGTGGCTATTGAACATTATAAGTGAGTCGTTCAGCTGTTTCAGACCTATACCTACTTGAGTGTGTACGGATTTGCACCGGCGTGAACCATACCTTCCTTATCGTTATCATCCGTTTCGTGTTAAGCGATTTCGTTGCTATCGATAACGTCTTATGGCTATAGAAATGCTCTAGTTTAGCATTAACGATCATCAGCACCGATGTCAGACAAGCCGTGTTCATCCAAGCAGCGTGGAACAGTCGGTAAGTCCTCACCACCTTCT